TTAGGATTTAGGATTTAGGGTACCAGAGCCCAAAACTTTGAACCCTAGATCTATACTTACCCCCTAGGTTCCTGCTTGATTAAAATCATTAAACGAAAATAGAACAGAATTAGGCTAAAAAACAAAAAAAAAGGAAACCCAGGAGTGGCAGCAGGATCCTAAAGCCAGAACACTAAACCCTAAACCCTAAACCCTAAACCCTAAGCCCTTTTTTCGGAAGGGACTCTAGAGGACGTCCTGACTCCTGCCTGCCGGTCAACGAAACTAGCTGCTGCGAATCCCTAAACCCTAGATCCTAAACCCTAAACCCTAAAACCCTAAAACCCTAAACCCTAAACCCTAAATCCTAAACCTTAAATCCTAAACCATAAATTCTAAAACCAAAGCCCTAGAAGATCCCAAAGCCTTTACCTTCCTTTTTGGGGATGAAGGGAGGAGAGCGGGGCCCAACAATGATACTTACAGTGGGCTTCAGGGGGTCGGGTGCTCTTACTGGGGGTTAGCAGGGAAATTGGGCTTAGGGTTGGAGATTAGGGTTAGTAGGGAATAAAGGAAAATATATAGGGTATATATAGGGACCATATTCCTTTATTTCCTACTAAGAACCAGAAAGCCTTAGGGGTTAAGGGTTGTGGACTTTAAGGGTAAGTCTTGGGGCACACGATGTACGGTACATGCACTGCCCCTCAGCCTTTAAGACCATGAACCCTAAGCCCCAACTAATTTAGCAGCCTCACTTTCCCATGTTCACTGCCACTGCTGCTAGCAACTCAGCTTGTAACTGAAGACGACTGTACATCCGGAATCCAGGGTCTCAGAACATAGATACGGCTCAGACAAGAAAGTCTTCCCAAAGCTCGAATCCCTAAACCCTAAATTTTCTTTGAGCACCCATTAGTTCAGGGAGAGCTTGGTTTGAAGGTCTTACAGGGTTCAGGGTTTAGAGCTTGGGGTGCAACGGTTTAGGATTTTGGTGCTCAGGGTGTTCGGGTTGTGTATTTAGGGTTTTGGAGCTCGCAGTTTAGGGTTGTCACTGTGGGATGCAAGCTGACTAAACAAGATATGGCCGTTTCCGTAGTAAGGCCTCCAATGCAAACCTCGAAAGAATATGACCCAGCAAGGAGTCCCTGACCCTAGTTCTTTTCAAATCCTCACACCTAGCTTGGCCCCTAAAACCTATTGAAAAATATTAGTATATATGGTCCCCTATTCAAGCCATTAGGGAAAATAATCCTAAACCCTAAACCCTAATATCCCGGGGGCCTACCCAGACACCACAACAAACACGCAGGATGCTGCGCTAGGCACCGTCTGCGTCAGTGGCGCACACATCCTTAGCCCCAAAAACTTGTGCATGGGCTTAGGTTGGGTACTGCCCCGACCGAGTAACAGTCTATATTAGGGGTCCTATTAAGGGCTATATATAACCATATTATATTTATTATCCACTGAGGGGGGGCAGCATTCAAGGTTTAGGGTTCAGGGTAGTCGGGTAGTGTGGATGCCCCACCATGGAAAATTCGAAACCTCCACTTTGACATTATGCATCCTCGAAGACCTATGCCATGTTGTTTACGCGGCGTATCCCCCACGACTTTTTCGGGGGTCCCAAGAATCAGGATCACCCTGTATGGGGATCCTCCTCTTTCTGGAAACTGCACTTTCACTAAGCCCTAAACCCTAAACCCTTTAAGCCCTAAGCCCTAAACACCAAACCCCAAGCCCTAAGCCCTAGACCCTACATCCGAGACCCTAAGCCCTATACCCTAAACCCTAAAAAGTAAGCCTTTTTGCAACAGGCTTTCTGAATCCGCCTGGAAGTGTCCTGCTGATCTCTGAACAAGCAAGGCAGCAACTGCATGACTAAGGCAATTACAAGCTTTTCATGTTCGCTTCTTCGGAGCGCACAACTAAGCCGAGCAAGTTTAAGCACTTGCAACACGGTGAGTAGACAATGCATTGATTCTTTGGCAATTCACTGTGACCGCCTACCTCAACTCTTTGCTCACAACAATTTCTCGCTGCTTGGCGTTGCAATCTAGCGATTCGTCTAGCCTCGTGGCCAAGCCCGAAACCCTAAACCATGGCAAGGCTCCAGCAAAAGCCGGCGTGCAGCATCACTTGCGTCCCGGTGCTCCACGGCAATGGCCTCCTCAAAACCTTACATTGCCAGAACTGTCACTTGGCTTTGGTTTTCAGGTTTCGCAAGGTAAGGGGTACCTTAAAAGAGGGTTATAGGGTTATATAAGGATACATAAGGTCTACGGTTGCGGGATTAGGGTTTGGGGTTTCCCAAGATTAGGGGTACCTTTTTGGGTGTGCCTATAACAGGGATCACAGTATTTTGGGGGTCTACATTAAGGCCCCCCTATTTTGGGAAACCACCAAGTATGATTGGCCATACTGCGTAATGCTCTGCACGATGATGCAACTGGCATGGGCATGCATGGGGAACTCTACTCTTGCTAGGAATCATATTTCTGCAAACATTGTGGGCATGAGCAGCACTGTTACTCAAACGAACTGTTAGCATTGTGCACAGTTTGCGAATCCTACAGGGGCCTAAATAATTACCAATATCACTTTGAGGTCCATTTGAAGCACCATGTACTAGAATCATACAAGGAATATGGAACCACGATATTAGTAAGTATTTCGGCCCCTAAATTACCCTTACAGTTTCCACTTTTGCTTTGGTTGGTCTTTGAGGCGATCACTGCATCTTGTGCAACTTTGGGATCTCCATTGTTGAGATTGATGATTGCTACTGCGGATATTCCCTAGTTGGAGGATCATGGGGACTTAGTAAGTAGGTTCATAACCACCATAAGCCATATAATAACCCCAACTATCCCCATTATTAACCTACCCGCTAAGTCCCCATGACCCTCCAAGTATGGCCTAAAAAGTGTAGGGTTGAGGACAATTTCTTCTGGTCTCAAGGGACGGTGTTGCGGATGTGGTTCTTGGAGTTTCAACATCTGAGTGCAGGGTGCTCTAAACACTTAGTACCTCTAGCTTCAGAAACAACAGCCGCTCAACTATGGATTCTGAAGGTGCGCTCTTGCTTAATGTTTAGTAAGCTCTAAACC